ATTTCTGCAAAAGGAGGATCTACTAAATATTGATGTAATTTTTCTGTTGGGGTGCCCAAATTTATGCACCTGCCTACTTTTGTTTAAGTAATTATTATACACTTTCTGTAAATCCTATAAGCTTCATTTCACTTCTCAAATATCACTGTGTTTGTTTGCTATATGATATATTTAATTGAAATTGCTGTTCCGAACAACCAATGATACATAAAGGAAAATCTTGAAAATGATCAGGAGTGCCCAAACTTTTTCATACCACTGTACATTCCAAAGGCCTTCCCAAGCACACACATTTTCATATCCCCAAACATTCAAAGACAATTTCTCCTACATTTTCTTCACACCAACTCCCCAGATGACTCCCTGCTGTTCAAAAACACCTCTACTCCCTGGGAAAAATGGGAAGACCTCCTTGATCCACATAACCCCCTGTTGTTTGCAACAGGGGGTTAACAACCCTGTAGTTGTGCTAGTGTAAGCCAACCATGCTGTGGGAGCTCCAATAATGCACTGAACACTTTCTTTGGCTACTGTATATTATTAGCAAATCCCACAACAGCATGCCTTTAGAGCTTCTTTCTTCTACAGTATGTATTTTGTCTTTCTCTGTTCTCCAGGGTCCTCTGTGAGTGTTTGACTCCAGAGCTGCAGCCTCCCAATCTGACACTATACACGCATGTACTGCTGTTATTTATAGCTAGCACTATAATAACTGTTGCAACTATTTATGTCATTATTACATTTGAAAGTATTATAATTACTCTTACAGCTAGTCAGACTGGTCATCCAACTCCAACTTGCACCTGCCAGCTGTGCCAGCACAGGGTGAATGGGGAGAAAAATGTTTTACAAAAACCACACTGCAAACAGATGTGATGTATAAATGTCTGCATGAAAGGTTGATCAAAAGAAACTAAAGAGCAAATAACAGCAAAAGTGAAAAACACTGTGTACCAGACCAGATAGAAAAAAAAGAAGATATAATTCACTTAGCAACTTTCAAATGTACAATACTAAAGCAGGGCGGGACTTGGTGACAATGACAACAGTGTGCTAAATTTAGCGCAGTAATTCACTGCTCTTTGGAGCTGTAACTCCTGCAACAATGTTACAAAAAATGAATTTATGCCCCAATTCAACATTGACATTCTTAACACTCCTATCACAAAACTATGACTTTGAATCATTTTAAATCAATTTAACTACCACATCTTGGTTTCTGTTAGTATTTGAACATCCCAATTACCTTGTAAAAGAATTGGGAAATGTGAAAAAATGTTTTTAATTAACGCATAGCTACGATAACACTTTGGGCCTGTCTCTTTATTCTGCACATTATACCTGCAATGCAGCGTTCTAATATTTTAAATATAAAACGTATGAAGTGTGAAATAAGCTGGTAAGTTTAGCTGCTAGTTAAACATCAATACAGAGTTTGGTGAATACATCTGTGCTTAACACATTGAGTGTAATGTGTTAGCATAGCATCACATGATTATCTTAAGAGATAATATTTCAAAATACTAGCAATTGGTCAATTTTGTCTGTTCTAATTGGCTGATGACGACAAATGCTGTGATCCAATCGACCGATCGATTAATAGGTGTCTACTAAAAGCCTTAAAAAATCTATAAAAATTCTCACATTACATATTTTTATGAAACGGACAACGGTAATAATTATTCTATGATCAATTGTGAGCAAACATATTACTGTAAAAAGAACGACAATATAATGGTCTTTATTTTATTAGCAGTGCAAGGCAGACTGGATTGATTATTCCTTTGTTCAGTCTGCTCACTAATGTCCGACTACTCGTTGTTACCATTGTTGGCGCTGTGCATCATTACTTAGGTCCGACAGATTGTTAATAAAGTTGTTTTCATCATTATTGATAATATTTTAATATTAACAAACCAACAGCTAATTTAACACTAATCATCACACTAACTTTAGTGTGATGAGTAATACATAGCCCCGTTAGCTCTCCTAACCTCTCTCCTATGGCGTAAACAGAACTGTGCGATGCTAAAAAGAAGCTAAAGCTAACTAGCTGGGTAGCCATTATAAACAGAATGTTTGCTGACAACTGTGATTTCATATTTATTTACCTGCCAGTTGCTTTCGAAGAAGTAGCGCTGATTGTTCGGTCATGGTACGAGGACGCGATTGGATAGCACTGTCGACAAACACAATCAGAGAAAAACAGCGAATTTAAGTGAAACTGAATTCGCACAGAAAGACAGAGCTGTTCAAAATGAACGAATCTTTCATATGACTCGTGACTCCCGAGTCATATGAAAGATTCGTGACTCCCGAGTCATATGAAAGATTCGTGACTCCCGAGTCATATGAAAGATTCGTGACTCCCGAGTCAT